AGGCGTAGAGCCTCTGAAAAAGAGGGGAAACTTAATACACGTGACCAGCTGAGAATGTTTGGCCTTATAGGACATTCTCTAGATCTTCATCTTCATTGTATTCGTTCTCAACACCTCAGTAAAACTCTTCGATTTTATGCTCAAAAATTATTTTACTTCACAAAAGCCTTAGCTGATAGGCAAACATTCCTCGAGTTTCTCCATCCTGGGATGCATGAAGTGTCTCGAAGAATCCAAGCAAAAATTACTCCACAGCATTTTTTGTAACCTTTTCACCACAACTTAGTCATTCCGAACAACTAATAAACAGCGCAAATTAGACTCTGAAGTGACCCTTATGCTATCATCTGTTTTATTAAGTATTTTCCCTGTATTCACTCATTTATTCTTTAGTAACCATGAGGGAATTCTTATATTATCATCTCCATAGCTAAGAAGCTAAGGCACAGACGGATTAATTTGTCAAAAGCCGGAAACTAGTTGCCATTCTTAAGCAAGTATTTCATAACCAGCTATCTCCTAGCCCTTGAAGCTACTGATGAATTCAAGTTTGTCAATTATAAATCTCTTACTATGAATAGCTGCTTTGTGGATCCTTTGGATAATGGTAGCGGTCGTGGTCCCCGTCGCGGTCGTGGTCCCCGTCGCGGTCACGGACACGATTGTAGTCACGGCCACGATTATAGTCGCTGTCACGATTATAGTCACGGCCACGATTATAGTCGCGGTCACGATTATAGTCGCGGTCACGATTATAGTCGCGGTCACGATTATAGTCGCGGCCACGGTCACCCTCACGCTCACGATCTCGGTCTTCGTCCCTTCCTTGATATCTGCCTCTGTCTCCATAAGACCAATCTCTATGGTGTCTACTCATACTTTCGGACTTTCTTCTGGCTAACCTTCTGTAAGGCTCACTCAGCGGTTTCTAACCTCAGCTTTTAAGCGCGACAACTTCTTACTTTGCCCTATTCTCCTCAGCGCCCCCTATCTGGCTTCACTTCCGGCGTTCTCTCATTTAAGACCTCTTGCCTTCCCACGCGATCAAAATTAATATTCATATGCTAATACAATACAATAGCTCTGGTGGCCTAGTGGCAAGAAGCTGCACTGCAATCCTGAAGATACATGGTTCGAAGCCACTAGCTGCTCCAAGGAATACAGCTGGGCAAACCCCACCTGGGTGATTATTAGCCTCTGAAAACCCACCAGAGCGTCAGCTATGGGTCTGTTCCGACTCTATGGTACACAACAACAACAACAAGAACAACAACAACATCAATAGGACATTTCTAGTCCCAACCTTCATGGACCAGGTCAGTGGCCGTTACTTGTCCTTTAAACTCCAAGAAATGTCACCTCTCTTGTAGTTGTCATGGGCTACCATTAGTGGGAAAATTTTACTGGCACGTCAATGATTGGTGAGAAGCCATGAAAAGGTAAAGATGAGCTGGAATTGCAAAGAAGACTTAGAGTTTTGCACTGAAATTTTACACATAATTTCGTGTACGTGCCTAAATGTGAGAGGCTGATTCTGTGACCTTGGGTTAAGTAAACCAACTTGTCCATGTTTCAGTCTTCCAATATGTAAGACAAAGATAATTATAGTTTTGATACTTATCTTAATTACCTAGTTCTGTGTACAAAAACCCAAGTATGTTCATGAAAGGACAGTGATGGTCTCACAGTTTCAAAGGTTAACTGTCCTAATTCCATGCATCAACAGGGCTTTGGAGAAAAGCAATTCATGTTTCTTTTAGTTTCCAGTGTTGTTGTTTTTATGTGCCATTAAGTCTCTTACAACTCATAGCAATCCTATGCACAATAGGTCTGAACCCTGTCCTATCTTGAGCCAGTCTCTGACATACCTAACCCCATTACCTTATTTACTTTGTCAATCAATCTCCCCTAGGAATCTTCCTCTCTTGTACTGCCCTTCTGCCCTTTCAAGCATGATACCCTTTTCCAAAGACTGATCCCTTCTGGCAACATGCCTTGAGCTTATCTTGACTTTCTTGACCTGTAGACGAATCTTCACCTGCTGGCTTCCTCCCATGGGTCTTTCTGTGTCTGTTTCCCCCTTTTTATTAGAGATTATCCCGAAAAGATTAGGTTTAATATCCATCATAACGATCTCATTAGGATAAAAATAAAAGCCCTAATTCCAAGCAGGGTCACATTAAAAATTAGGGAGGTGGTTGTTGTTGTTTGTTGTTATGTGCTGTCAAGTTGTTTGGGACTCATAGCAACCCTATGTACAAGAGCCCTAAACCCTATTCTATCCTGAGTCAACTTCATTGTCCTGGACACACCTACTCCCATTACTCCAATCACTGAATCAATCCATCTCATCGAGGGTCTTCCTCTCTTGGGCTGTTCCTCCACTCTCCCAAACATGATATCCCTCTCCAAAGAATGGTCCCTCCTTGCAACATGCCCAAAGTATGTCAAACAAAGCTTCAGAATCCTTGCCTCCAAGCAGCAACCTGGTTTCACCCTCTCCAGGACAAACTTCTTTGTTCTCCTAGCAGTCCACTCTTCTCCAGCACCACAGCTTGAAGGCATCAATTCTCTTTCTACCATCCCTAGTCTCTGTCCAACTCTCCAGTGCATAGCACACTATTGTGAAGACTGTGGCCTGGATCAGCTATACCTTAGTCTCCAGCTTAACGTCGTTGCTCTTCAGTACTCTGGAGAGGTCCCTGACAGCTAACTTTACCCAATGAAATTCATCTCTTGATTTCCTGGCTGCTGTTACCAAGAGTGTTGACTGTTGAGCCAAGCAAACTAAAACTGTTAACTATCTCAATCTCTTCACCATCCATACTGATGCTGCCAATTGGCTCAGTGGTGAGAAGCTTTGACTTCAATATAATCGTTTTCGAGGAACACAATTCAATCTTTCATGGTACTGATATCAGTACTATTATGCAATCATTGGACATCCAATATCTGTTGTGAGGATTAAATGAGCTAATGGATCCAAAACATGTAAACGATATCTAACATATAGTCTAATTTTGATAAATGTCATTTTCCTATCCAGGGTAGAGGAGATTCATTGCCTCACTCCCTCACTCACTCAGTCACAGTTGTGGAATAGGAGCTGACTCATAGCTGACTTTCCATGGGAGTTGCAAAGCTATAAATCACACATCTAACTTTTGACGTATTAAAAGGCATCAGTACAGTTCAGAGGATTGGGAACTTGGGAGCTGTTTTATTACTGCCTCTCTAGAGAAACAGGTCATATAGAGATAGAAATGCACACATGCGGGTGCGCATGCATGCACGTGCGTGCACACACACACACACA